TCCTCATTGGACTGAGCAATTTCATATTCTCTTCAAGCGTCATCCTTTTTCTGAATAAGATTATCATTAGAAGGAAACTGAAATAAATCTCTCTGACAATCCTCAAGATCCTTCTTAGCAGTAATTAACCTCTCAAAAACTGAACCAAACTTGGTTATATTCCAAACCTTAACAGCTTGTTTCACCCCCTTTCAGCTTTTTAATAACCCTAGCAATTGGATCTCTAACCACTACCATTTGCCAAGCCTCAGCCACCACTTATTTAACCATAGGTTGAGCATTCCACAAATGAAAAAATCTAAAGGGTTTTGAACCTGAAGCAACCTGCAAAGGAACTTGTACACATATCCCCCAATGGTCTGAAGCTAAAGGAGGAGTAAGTTCAATTTGAGAAAGGTCACTCCATTCTTCATTCATCAACCCTCTGTCCAGCTGAAGATAAATTCTACGTGAAAACTATCTCTTATTACACCATGTATAAGTGCCATTAAGAACAGGAATATCAACAAGAGTTAAGAGATCAATAACGTCATTGAAATCCTTCAACACCTTAATTGATAAAGATTTGCCACCAATTTTCTCATGATTATATCTAACAATACTCCAATCACCAATAAGTAACCATGCCCCTGTAATCTTAGAAGCCATATCCATAAGACATCTCCACAATTCCTTTCTTTCTGCAGCAGTAATTTCACCATAGACACAACTGACCCAAAAAAACAAATCAGTATTTCAAAAAAAATTTCATTATTAAAGTTCTAGGAAGATTGTTGATTTTCTAAAGTTCTTAATATTCCAAGGGAATATATAAAATGCATAATGCATAATGGTCATTCTAGAAAAAAGAACCCCACCAAGTTGGTTTTATAAAGCTAGGAACAAGGAAATTAGGGATTTCAACAGGTTTTCCATGCTCTCTCTCTCTTCCTTCTTTTTTTTTTTTAATTTGTTTTTTTATTCTTCTATTTTTTTCTGCTTCAATTGTTGATTATCAAGCAGAATTGTGCATGCCAGCCTTGATTTAGCTGTTGCCCCTTTGCTTCAACTGTTACTCTATGTCTATTATATTATTCCCAATAAGTTATAGAAGTTTGATTTTTAGAATTGTTGTTTGAAAATTTTAAAGTAGTGTGATATTATAATATTGGCGGGTATTATATATATATCTTCTCTATGAAAATGTTTGAAATATTATTTAAAAGATGTGCATAATCTGTCTTTTATTGTTTTTCTATTTATTATTTTTTTTAAAAGGTAAAATATATTTTAACTAATTTAATTGGAGAAAGTTTAATTCTTACACGTATGTATATGCATATACCTAGTTTAAATTTTTATACCGACCAGTACATTTTCTGTCTCTAGTTTAGTTGGATGAACATGCTGATCTGCAAATGCAGGAATGTTCATGTTGTGCACTTATTGCTGAAAAGTTTGTGTTGACTTCACCAGAGATATTGGCTGGGAAAGGAATCAGCCGACTTCTGGTATGTAGTGCTTCTGAACTTGCAACTGCCAATTTCTTTTCTTATTTTTTCTTTTTCTTTTTTTTTCTTTTTTTTTTAATTTTATTTTATTCCGTTTAATCTTTTTATGTTTCATATATTCAATACCTACTTCGCCAAAAAAAAATTGCTGAGATGTTCCAATGCAGGACGTTGAAGGGAACTATCAATATGTGTCCTTTCCCCCTCCGAAATATCCAACACAAATTGAAAAATAAAACTTCTGTTATGAATTCTTCTTAGGAGATTTGTAGATTTATCAACATTTTAGGATATGGGCTATCAACTTCCTGACCATGCCATTAAACGTAAAACTACATTAGGTCAAGATAGAATTGAAATGAAGTTAAAAGACAAAGAAATAAGTGAAATGAAGAGGTCACACTTATACTAAATAATAAATTTAATAATAAAAAAATAGAATTACCCCATCTATATCATTCTTCTGTGCTCTAGTATTTTATTAGAAAAAAATATGAGTCCATTGATCCGGCACATATTTATATTCAAGTGATTTATGTAACATGCATCACAAACTATAAAAATTTAAAATTGTATATAGAAAGACATATATGCATCAACATTTAAATTGAGGAGGTATTTGCTCACACCAATTCTATTAGTTGATGCTTGGTAGAGCACCATAGTCATTAATAAGATTAGGTTGAAGCAGACTTGATGTAGTATAGTTATCTTTCTAGGTTAGGTCTGTGCTCATTTGTTTTGCATATTTATTAGTGTAACTTCTAAAATTAAGCAAGCAAGGATGGAAGATAAAGATAGTATTCGGTCCTTCAAGGACTCAGAATGACTCTGTAATGCTAGGTGGTATGACTTTAAGCAGAATAAAATTTTTGCATGCTGTATTGTCATTGCTTGTCATACTAGTTCTCCCCACATTTTTACAACTGTGAGTTCAGGTAGGAAGAAAATCTTTTTTGAACTATGTTGGCCAGAAACAATCAAGCATCCTTAGTTTTCATGAACATCCAAATGCCACATTAATTAGTTGCAGCATGTTGCTTCTATCCTTGCTCTATCTTTTGTTTGATGACTTCTTTCCTTGTGATGATCAGGTTTGCAGAAGTGATTCTTTGGTGTTTCGAAGAGAATCTCGGGCTTGGAGGAGGCCAGCTATCAGAATCAGGAGGTAATCTAAACCCTTATATATTCTGTGATGTGTTCCTTATATATTTTGTTACGTGTTCCTTATATATTTCTTGAGATATAGTTGAAATAGGCTTTCTGTTTGTTCTTATATTGAGATTGGGAAAGTAAAAACAGAGAAAGTGATTGAGCTGAAAAGTTTTATTGCTCATGCCCCCATAGTTTGAAAATGAGAAATTGAAAGAAAGGAAAAACAAATGATATATTGATTGTCAAGTTTGTTTTCGTGGCTGGCAGAATTGGATTTTTATTTTGAAAATTTCGTTATATGGTTGATTGTTTAATTACAATTCGTAGAAAGATAATTTATTTTTTCGTTGCAATGATTAATAACATTATGTAGATTACCCGTCACAAAGGGTTTTATTTTGGAATTCAAAAGCCAATTTTATCTTTGGCTTAAATTAGTCATTCACATTTGGACCAAATTTGAAAACTGAATTTTTAAAAACTTGGGCCAGTTTGAATTGTAATCTTGCAATGTTGTAGAAGATTTTAAGTCAGTTTGTAGTGCAGTGGTAGAAGTCTTTTTCGCCCCTTGTTTAACAAGTTTTGAATTAAACAAATTAGACTGACTACAGTAAACCAAAACCGTATTTGTCTACAGTATACCATAAACAAATTAGAAATTAATTATCTTAAGACTTACCCAAAGCCATGGTGAGAAGGCTATAAACAATTTGCTAACTACTGCCCCAAATTTGAATATTTGGAGCTGATGAATCCCTTCTCAAGCCTCCAAAAAAGATACAATATAAATAAGACTAAATATTTAATGGGGAATAAGTAGAATCAAAATTTACAAGTTTGGCATGCCGACAAGGAAGGGAAGGAAACATTTCTGTGATGGAGTTACTCGACCTTCTTTTCATCCCAAGCCTTCAAATGACCATTAATTTCTCAGAAATATTAGGAGAGGTTGCCAGAGAAGATGTCATTGAAACTGAAGAAGTAAAAATAAAACAAAAAATGACATGATTACTCTTTTCCACTGTTATACAACCTAGAATAGAATCAATCATATATTCATATTGAATAAAGATTTAAATCTCCATTCCATCACTCATTTTATATCCATCTAATGTTATCCAATACCATCATTACATGAACTCAAATTAATAATGAAACAGTTAACCAAATAAAAATAAAAATACAGCGAAAAAATACTTTAACAAATTTCAATTACCAAAAAAACCAATAGAATTACAGGGAAATTCTATTATGTGCGCTCCCATTCTGGAAACCCTTATCATCTACACAACTTCCAAGATCTACACCTCCATTTCTTTAACACCCTCATCTCTAATTAGAGTTAAGGGTTCCCCAATTTCATGAATATCCAGAAAGACATCTATGTCTATACAACCTGCATACACCTGAAACATCTAAAGTGCATCTGAATCTTCCTCTATCATCCTCTTTTCATTGGGTCAGAAGATAGATCTAGGAAATTATACCTACCAGTGTCTATAATACTAATGCCATGTGACCATGGCAGTGAACCAACAGAGTATGAAGAAACTCCATTTCTTAATTACTATGTCTTTCAATTTTCTTTAACTGTATTTCACTCTTTTTTTTTTTTTTTTGGTTCTTTTTTAAAGAAATGATAAGACGGTTCTTACACTCATTCATTGTTCCTTCCATGATGGGCTCCACACACTTATATACATACACACACATATATATATATATATATATATATATATATATATATATATCCTTTATTAACTCTTGATGGATATATGTTCCTTTTTTTCTTTTTTTTTTCTTTTTTTATTTTTATTTTTTTTGTGTACATTTAAGCAGTTACATGGATAAGTCTTGGATTCATCATCACACTAGGGGAAGTGTAAAGTATTTTGATGGCATACATGACTTCATTGATGTGGCTAGGCGTCATGCAGAAGTAGACGGTAGGTCCCGATGTCCTTGTCGTCGTTGCAAAAATAGGACTTATCATCAAATTGAAGAAGTTAAGCAGCATCTCTTGAGAAATGGGATGGACAAGGGGTATACCAATTGGATATATCACGGGGAGGCTCGTCAAAGCAACAATAATGTTAATATTGATGCTAATGTCAGTAGGGAAAATGTCCACGATGAAGATGGAAATGTAGATAATGTGTTTGAATTGTTGGATAATATACAAATGGGAAACTTCACTAATGCACCACAACAAGAAGATTCGCCTGAAGTTGATGTTGGAGGAGGAAGCTTTGATAGATTGTTAAATGATGCACAATGTGAATTGTGGCCAGGTTGTGAAAAATACTCTAAGTTGTCAGCGATATTAAAGTGTTCCATGTGAAGGTTACAAGCCGAATGAGCAACAAATCATTTGACATGATGCTTGATGCATTTAAGGATATGCTTCCCGATAATAATGTGTTACCAAAGTCTCATTATGAGACTAAAAGCTTGTTACGAGACTTGGGTCTCGGATATGATTGTATACATGCATGTAAACATGATTGTGTTCTATTTTGGAGGGAAAACGCAAGTAAAGAAAATTGTCCACAATGTGGTGAATCGAGGTATAAACCTCACGAAGGTAAGGGTAAGAAAATCCCTCAAAAGGTTCTCCGGCACTTCCCATTGAAATCAAGACTTCAACGGTTGTTTATGTCAAAGGATACAGCCTTAGATATGCGGTGGCATAAGGAGAAACGTGTGAAGGAGACAAATGAGTTAAGACATCCAGCTGATTCAAAAGCTTGGGAGGATTTTGATAGTAAGCATAGTTGGTTTGCTGCTGATCCTCGTAATGTTCGTGTTGGATTAACAACTGATGGATTCAATCCATTTGGAAATATGAGCAATGCGTATAGTATGTGGCCTGTGATGATTGTGCCTTACAATTTGCCACCTTGGATATGTATGAAGGAGCCATATATATTTATGTCGTTGCTTATTCCTGGTCCAACATCGCCTGGTAATGATATTGATGTGTACATGCAACCTTTGGTTGAAGAGTTAAAAGAATTGTGGCGGGATGGTGTGATGACTTATGACGCGTACAGTAAATGTAACTTTAAAATGCATGCGGCAATGATTTGGACCATTAGTGATTTTCCCGCCTATGCGATGGTATCTGGATGGATGACAAAGGGTTATCTAGCATGTCCGAATTGTAACAAAGAAACATGTTCTTGTTTTTTGAAACACAGACGTAAGATATGCTACTTGGGAAGTTGTATGTTTTTATCGTTAGATCACATTTTCAGAAACCATCACAAGCAATTTAATGGCAAAAGTGAAGACAAAGGGCCACCAAAGCAGTTGACGGGTGATGATATTCTAGAACAACTTAACCTCATACCCGAGGTTAGTTTCGGAAAGGGGCCAAATAAAAAGAAGCGAACTCGTGAGGAATTTGAACTTAACTGGACGAAGAAGAGTATTTTCTTTGAACTACCTTACTAGAAGACCATTTTGTTGCGGCACAACCTGGATGTTATGCATATAGAGAAAAATATATGCGATAGTGTGTTGGGGACATTATTGGACATTGAAGGGAAAACTAAGGACACATTTAAAATTCGGTTGGATTTAGAAGCAATGGGGATTAGAAAAGAACTCCACCTGAGACGTAATGGTGAAAAATTTGAGATGCCATAAGCGCGCTACACATTGTCAAAGAATAATAAAAGACAACTATGTGAATGGCTAAAATCAGTTAAGTTTCCAGATGGCTATGCATCGAACATAAGTCGGTGTGTGAATGTTAATAATTGTAAGATATCTCGATTGAAAAGTCATGATTCACACGTTCTCTTACAACGTCTCCTCCCTATTACTATACGAGGATTCTTAAATTCAGATATTTGTAACACAATAGCTGAGCTTGGTTTATTCTTCAAGGAATTGTGTTGTCGAACTGTCAAAGTGGATGTCTTAGAGGCAATGGAAAGGGACATTGCTGTTATACTAAGTAAGTTAGAGATGATATTTCCTCCGTCATTTTTTGACATTATGGTGCACTTGGCTCTGCATTTGCCGCGTGAAGCCATCATCGCAGGCCCTGCACAATATCGATGGATGTACCCGATTGAAAGGTGCTGTATATTTTTAGTAAACCAACATTTTTTTTTTTAACAAGTTTTATTAGTTTGTTATTAAATATTATTGGTTTGATTAACGGTTATGTAGATTTTTGCATACTCTCAAATTGTACGTCCGTAACAAAGCACGTCCGGAAGGGTCCATTGCGGAAGCTTACGTGGACGATGAGTGCCTCACATTTTGTTCAAAATTTCTTGGAGGGATTGAGACAAGGTTCAATAGAGAAGAAAGAAATAGTGAGGGGAACTACAACAATAATTGGTCCACATTTTATGATCTAAAGCAAGTGGTTCGACCGATAGGAGCACAAAGTTTGGACATATTGCCCCGTGCGGACATAGAGATGGCCCGATTGTACGTTTTACAGAATTGTGAAGATGTTTTGTCACATGAAGAGTAAGTAACTCATTGCATGTCATATCTTGTCAGTTTCTATGAATATATAGTGTATTTCTTAATACATGTATACAATTGTATCATTAACATAATGTAATTGTTTAGAAAACACAAGGTAGAACTTGAGAGAGAAAATCCGCGCAATGTTCCTCAAAGACATGCTAAAGAATATTCGAGGTGGTTCGAAACAAAAGTAAGTCCATTATGCACCTATTGTACTTAATTAAATAAAATTCGTTAATTTAATTAAAATGAACTATCATTCATTTATTTAACACTACACTTCTTTTAATAGATAAAGGAAATGCGTCATCATCAAAAGGAAACAACTTGTGATGATCTGTATTCATTAGCGTGTGGACCTCAATGTCTAGTAAGTCGATATTCCGCGTGTATTGTAAATGGGATTAGGTTCCATACTAAGGAAAAGGAGCAAAATCGACGAACACAGAATAGTGGCGTGTTAGTGAAAGGAGAAGACCAAGATTACTATGGTGCCCTAACAGATATCATTGAGTTAAGATATCGTCTGGGTAGAAAAAATTTTCTTTTCAAATGTGATTGGTTTGATGTTAGGATTGGTACCGGTGTACATAAAGATACCTATTTCACAAGTGTAAATGTAGCCAGTAGAGCGTACAAAAATCAGCCGTTTGTGTTAGCAAATCAAGCATTGCAATGCTTCTATGTCAAAGACAACAAATTACAAGGGACGTGGGAGGTAGTTCAAGATATAACAAGTAGAAGCTCGTTTGATGTACCTGAAAAAGAGGGTGAAACAGGAGTACATGATGAAATGCTCAACACTACAGCATACCAAGAGAGCGAACCAAGCATCGTGGATGGAGTTGTTGAAGCGGACTTGGACATGGATCCATTCCCTTTGAACAGGGACGATTTAGAGGGTGAAACTCTTGATGCTGAAATGATTCAAAAATGTAGGGGTGAAACAGCCATTAATGATGACTTTTGGGATGTTGAGAATGATGAAGCTCTCAACATTCAATATAGTTCAGATGAGGAACCAGAATTAATGTCTGAAGATGATACTGATATGGATGACATGTGAAGCTTTTTATTCTTGAGCATGTACCTCATTTTATTGTTTGATGATTAATACTTTAAGTGACCAGCTGAATTATATTACCGAGCTTTATCTTTTGAGTTACTTTTTGTTTAAATTTCTCTTTAAGTATTGTTTCTGTGCTTCATTAATTTGCAGCTTTGATTTGGTTGACTAAATTAATTGTTATATTTGAGCATTTACTTTTTTTTTTGGGTTTATGATTATATTTAATGTGATCTATTCAGTTATATTGCCTCTAATTATTGAATTTTTTATTCAATGGAATTATGTAAATATGAAATGATGACTCAGAATATATTTTGCATATGCTTGTTTATTTTGATTTAATTTCACTTGATTCTTCATATCAGCTTGTAAACTAAATTATGGACACCTCCGAGGAACCGATGCGTAGAGTTTTAAGGTCCCGCAAGGCTGAAACTGAGCAACCATCTACAAGTTCACCTCCTACACAACCAAGTGGATTAGGTGAAGATAGGAATTCAACAAATGAAAGAATGGAAGGTGATGGTAGTAGTGAGCAGATAGGGCCACAACCAAGTGGAGGTAATTATGCTTCATCATTGATTAACCATAAGTTCTTTTGTAAAATGCCTACGCTTTAATTAAGATGATAAATTTTTTTTTCAGGTCCGATACGAAAAGGGCGTGGAAGAGCAAAAAATGAAGCCTTGCACAAAATTAATGAAAACAATTGGCCAGTTCCAGTTGAGTTTGGAGAGGGTTATATTAAACCTGTTGGTTTAAATAACAAATTATGGACGGCTGAGGTTGGCATTAATACACGAGATACCGAAGCCCTTATAAAGTATAAAACGTGGAGGGATGTTCCAGATTTTGAGAAAGAGGTCTGCTATAACCATTTGAAGGTAATGATAACCATCATTTAATGCTTGTTTTGGTTAAAAAAAAATCAGAGATTACTTGTCCAATTGGTTACAAATTATAGCTTACTTTAATTTTACATTATAAAGGAGGTCTTTGGAGTGGATGCATACGCAAATGACATTGATTTTAAGCGAGTAAATATGGGAATTTCCAGCGTGTTGAGGAAATATAGATATAAATTGAAGTGTCATTTTGAAGAGCATCTTCCGATTGAGAATGCACGCCGCCATCCTTACAATGGTATTGGTAATGCTGTTTGGGAAAAATTGTGTGATACGTGGATGTCACCTAAATTTCAGGTTCAATTTCTTAACTACTTGTTTTTACTATTTAATATAATAACTTCATTCACTAGTTATTTAGGTTTCCTAACTTGTAATATTGTTTGAATTACTACTTAGGAAATAAGTGCAAAAAACAAAGAAAACCGTTCCAAGAATGAGGTTCCACATTATTCTGGATCAATGTCCTTCGTCAGACGTTACGATGATTATGTGCGTAATATACGAAACAATAATTATAAATTTTTTATTTTATATTCTACGTTCTAAACCATATATTTGTCTAATAGTCACTATTACTTTGTACTATAGGTCAAACTCAAAGAAAGGCAGAGCCAAGAAGATGAGGACGGTGAAAGGGAAGAGGATCCTGCTATTCGTTTGTACAAGGACACACATTTTAAGGAACAAGGTGGATGGGCACATGAGAAAGCTAAGAGGAATTTTGTAAGTTAACTATAAGCTAGCATGTTAGATTATGAAATTTGGATCTCATAATATTGTCAACATTGATTGATTGTGTTGGATTTGTAATTTATCTGTTTTGCATAGTTCAAATATGTGTCTTATATCTAGGGTATAAATCTGGAGATTTAATAACAACTCATGCCAAATAAATGTTCTATCCCCTTACATTCCATAACTCCAAAATACTTCAAGTCTAGAAACCCCTCACCATCTCTGTCTTGACTCACATTCTTTAAAATTTCCACTTCTACTAAATATATACATGAGATCTTTGGATGTATCATGAAAATTAATGAATCAGTCCATTAATTGGGGTTTCTTGAATTAAAAATTGTTTAGAGTAAAGATTAATTTTAATTAGGGTTTCGTCAATCTTGGTTGTGACTGAAAATTATACCTATAGCAGGAGAGAGAAGAGAGAGAATGGAATAGCTTGTAAATGGAAGCCTCACTTTGCTCTAACAAGTAGTGACCCATTTATATATATATATGAATATATCTGTCTGTCTGTCTATTTGTGTGTGGGGGTGTGGAGAAAGTGAGGTGATTTTCCATGAAGCAGCCCTTTTATGCATAAGGTTTATGTGTGGTTGTTACATATATATATATATACACACTTTTATGTTTTATGATTATCTAAATATATATGTAGAGAAAGTGAGAAGTGATTTTCCATGAAGCAAGCACTTTAATGTCATAAGCTTTATGTGGGGTTGCACATATATATAATATATAATTATCCGTACTCTTTTATTATGTTTGGGTGGTTGTAACTTTGAAAATCCACCAAAAACATAAAATCCCATTTGTAGGAGTGTTAAAGAAAAGATGAATGTGACCTCTTTTTTTTGGTAAGTATTGTTGTTCCCTTTTTTATTCTCTTCCTTTTAGTTAGTTTAATTATGTGATATGAAGGCTTCAAGCTACTTCATCGATCAGCTCCTGTAGGAAGGTTATCTTATATATAAAGCATATTCCTCTATTTAGATGGGGTCAGCTGCAGATCCTGTTGTCATCCCACTATATCCTGAGCTGTATTTGTTCTCTCTCTCTCTCACACACACACACAACTTCAGTAAAAGCTGTCCTAGATACTCTTGGAGCGTCATGTTATATTTTATTAGTTAATTTCTTGAATTAAATAGACAAGAAATCAAAATCTGATTTATTGTTATAATTTAATAGCTTAGTTTTGGGATAGTAGAGAATCACTATTTACCTATTACATCAATATGTCTACC